AGAACCAGTAAAATTGGAAGACTGGGCTCAAGTCCATCCATAGTTCTAAAAGCTTCCTAGAGGTTGGTAGCATCCCAGCTCAACAAGTCCAGAGTAACTCATCATGTCAGGTATGACAATAGTTTATTTCTAACATACTAAAAGTTGTGAAGGCACTATGCGTGCAGGTGCTTAATAGACAGCAATATTGAACAGGTAAGAAGGCATCTGGTTTGAATAACTGCAACCATGGAATTTCCGCATTATGGAGAGAAAATTTTTTTCAAAGAAATGTATACTGGATATAAAATGGTGTCCTTCAAAGAGACTGCTTTAAAGCTTCAGAGGAACAGGACATCCCAGGGGTCCTGTGGACTTTCCCTTTGTCACATTTCCACTCTCATGGCTAATTTAGCTTCTATCACAGTAAACTGTTTATGATTATCTGAACAAACCACATTAATTCCTAACAGCCTTGAATGTCTCTCTCATCTATCTATTGAGCGTCCACCCAGGCATTGCCTTCTTCAGGAAGTTAACATTCTCAACACTTGTGAGCTCCTTAATGATGACAATGACAACAGTGATACTTATCAGGTGCTTCATCTGGGCCAGACTGCCGTTCTAACTCAAATGAATTTGGCATCAACTCAACTCCTCTTTATGACAATTCTATGAGGTAGGTACTAATAACAGCCCCATTTTACACTTAAGACACTGAGGTACAAAGCCTACCCCAGGACACATCACAGGTCAGTGGTAAAGCCAATAGTTGAACCTAAGCCGACTAGTTTCAGAGTCTGTGGTCTAATCCCTAGGCCACACAGCCTGTGTGTGTGATTAAAAATGGGACACATCCTAGGTACTGCTGTATACACAAGGCTCTTGGCTGTCTTGTTCAATTTAAGTTCAATGAGCTTTGGGGTTGGAGAAGTATATAAGATGGCATATTAACCCGAAAGGTATAAAGTCTATTCTAAAAACACCTTTGCTGAAACTTAATTTTCACACAAATATATAGCTGTAACTGGCATACCTCAAACGTGTTAGATTTACCATTCTTAGGATAAGAAAAGTGTCTTAGAGTCTAATGAAAACCCTTGGCAATTTGAATATTATATGATGCCGAATTATCCTATAATTATTTGAGAGGTCAAGAATCTTAAACATTTAGTCTTAAAACTCTCCACATGGGTGATGCAATCAGAAAATTTAAGGATGTATGGAAATATTTTTACACAAAACAAGTAGAAATCTACTTCTTTAATAAACTTTAAATAAAAGGTACAATATTTTCCAACACGGGTATTTTTTTTCCTCTATTGCAAAAAAGGAAATTTTTAAAATAACATTTTTTAATGAATATGAGCACCTATTTTATTTTCCAGTGCTGGTTTCAAGGAAGAGTAGGATAAAAGTGTGTGGAATGAAACACTGTATCACTTATTAACTGGTGGGAAACTCTAATTTATAATGGTGCCCAGCACTAAAGCTTCATAAAGAAAAAAATTTGAGTCACCTCCGTCCAACCTCTTTGGCACTTTAGTCTGGCAGGAAAGGGAAACAAGCCTAGGGCAAAAGTGTGAGAATTGTTTTTATAGTTTTAGTAGGAAAAGCTTCAAGAAGGCAAATGTGTACTAAGATCCTTGCCTCATCCACAGATAACACCATCAACATCAGATGCGATGCGGGAATGACCAGTAACGACCTTTCTCATAAAGACTTTCAGTAAGGCAAAGCATCAGTGGTTAGGGGCATAGATTGTGGAGCCAGAAGGTCTGGGGTTTCATCTTATTTCTACCACCTGTCAATTGACTTCAGTGGGTTCACCTGACCCATCTGTGCCTCAGTTGGCTCATTTATAGTAAGACAATTACATAGAGCTGATTAACTTAAAGTGCTGTTGGGAGGGTACAATGAAATCATGCCAGCCTAGTTTAAAAGAGAATGAACAATACACATTACTACTTAAGCTCAGTCCATAGATAACCTACAGTTGCATCTTACAAGATGTTGCCAACACACTGACTCAATTACGGGGCTGGGTAAGTCCTAAGCTCTGCGTGAGCAAGGGGGCCAACATCTTTAATGTTTAATTTTGAGGCAGAGATGGCAGAGAGAGAGGGAGACACAGAATCTGAAACAGGCTCCAGGCTCTGAGCTGTTAGCACAGAGCCCGACGCGGGGCTCAAACTCACAAACCGTGAGATCACGACCTTAGCTGAAGCTAGACCGTCAACCAACTGAACCACCCCGGCACCCCAAGGGGGCCCACACCTTACGGGTTTTTCAAAATTTGGTCTGCAAAGAGGCCCTTACTTTTTTTAATGAAGCGAAATAAAATAGTTTCACATTTAATTCCATCTTCTGAACCAGAAAAAAACGCCCCTGTCAATATTATTTATGTGTAACACAAAAATAACCACAGGCACCGTTTGTCTAGAAATCACACTGTCAAACTGTGGTTAGCTGTCTTTGAGCTGAATTGAGTGAATATTATTTTGCTATTCATTTGCTCCTGTTACTGTAGGAGAAACAGGCATAGACAATAAGGGCTTAAGAAAATGTAACAAAAAGAGAGAAAACAATTAAATCTCTCACTTTTAAAAACATAATTTGTATCCGCTTTTATCAGTGTCCTAAATCAAGCCTGTTCAAGACCTACTGTTGTGACATACCTCCTGAAATCCAGATGCTCTCCCTGTTCATCAGAACCATTCCTGCCATTGCCCGGGCCTACTCAGCAAGTATTAAATTTCTGCTCAACCAGGAATCACATTCTGCAGAGCAAGAAACCTGCGCTGAAGTGAAGCAGTTTTGCTGTGGGGATGGCATCACAGAATCCTGAACTCAACCTAACTTGGAAGATTCCTACTCCAAACCACTTCATAGAAAAAGCAGCCCCCTGAGAAATGCAAGTCGCCCAGCTAGCTGGTGGCCGGCACTTTGTCATTTCATTTGCCATCTACCGGGTCTGTACTTTTTGTTTCCCTACAACTAAATTGCCAGAGAATAAACTGAACTTCAAAACTGAAAATCAGGAGTCAACTTTAAACAGCATCAAAAAGCATGAGGATGCCCAAGCTGGAGAACACAAGAAACGGGGACATGTTCATCTAGATTTGAGCAATCACAACAACATACGATCAGCTAAATCCTATACCCTCACAGCAACGTTCTGGATAGAATGACGTACAATATATTTAGACATCTTCATTTGTGTTTCACATTCCTCATTCCCCAATCCAACCTGGAAAAGATGTGGTGATAAAGAGGAGGATGACAAGGGACTTCCCTTATCCTTATCTCCCTCATACACTCACAGGCCTGGGAGAGAAAGGGGGAGAACACAACTCTATTTCATTTCAACACTATCGATTTTCCTCTTCCTTCCTATGTTACTTAGGAAGCTGCATTCTTCCATTAGAAATAACTTCAGACACAGAATTAAAAATAAACAAGGACAATCTAAAAGTTCCATAAGCTATTTCAGGTTGGATTGATTGATACAATTCAGGTAGGACTGATAGACCAGTCTTTACAATAAGTAAATATCAAATGGAAAAGAAGAGGTTAAGGCTGTAATAAGTAAATTCAAATGTATAAAACAAGTAGATTTCAATTATTTCACCCAATCACGGGGAAGCAAAGATACTCTAAAGAAAATTGCATTGCCTTCCCAACTCCTTGGAGAGCCAGTTTAGTTAACAGCCTACCTCTGCTTCCGAGATGACCATACAGCTTGCATGTCAAACTCATTTTAAAGTGTCAATCATGTCCCTTTCAATCTAATTAGTTTGGAAAGTAGTGTCACTGACCTGGAACTATGCAGACCACTTATTATCATATCATTTGATCAACCTAACACTTTACCTCAGTTGAGTCTGGGACACCTGTAGCCAAAATGTAATATCCTTTCTCCCGCTCCTTACTGGTAACTCTCAATACAATTTCCTATTTACAACTCAATTTATCTCTATGAATAAGCATGGCCAACTTCACAGAGGCATCCACAGAATTTGCCTTATTTAAAATTTCATGGTAATTAAAATTGAAAGGTAAGGGGAATTAGAAAAAGAGAATCACATATAGATCTGAACCAGAGGAGGAAATATATACCTGTATCTGTATGTAAAATGCAGATGTGAGGTTTTTGATCCCCAAGAACTGCTAAAAGGAGAGGAAAGAGGAAGAATAGAACAACATGGATAGGCTGGGTGAAATCTGGGACCTTACACATGGTAGGGAGGCTATTCTTCTCTAACAAAATATAACACAGCAAGCCATTTTTATGAAAGGAGTCTGTGGGCTGTAAACCCAACATCGGATGGGTTTGTGTTCTAATAAAAGCTTTCTCACGTTCATAGTATTTAACCTGACTTGAACCTGGCCAAGGACAGGATGAAGCACATTGAAGACCTAATCAGTAATTCCCCAGAGGTCAAAGAACACCCATGTACCGCGGGAGGAGAGGCCACAACCAGACCAAAGTGAATGGGCAATGAGGTGGGCCTGGAGGGGTGACAACACCGGGGGCTGGAAGATGCTCCTCAGTGAAGCAACAGATCACCGGGCCCATCCCTGGTGAGAGGATGGAAATTACCTAGTCCTTTCCTCATTTTACTTGGGCGTATTTAAGAACTGATTTGCAAGACAAAAATACAAGCAAGTCATTTCTGAACCACAGGACATCATAATGAATCAGGGACAGAGAGAACACATGCACACACCACCAGAATGCTGCATTCATATGTCCAGATGTGGTATTAAAAAAAATAGGTATAGGAGTTCTATTTAAAGTCCTGACTGTTCACTCTAGAAGACAATAATCTAAAGCAGGATGTCAGTTGCTAACACTTCCTTTCCAAGCCTATGTTTCCCTAGGCAGATGTTGCGTTTTACCAAAACTCCCGTTTGAAAGATAAGCAAGATTCTTCATTCATGTTTGCTTGATCAAGTAGTTATTGGTGAATATGATTTTACATCTGGTCAAATAAAATAAGCATGTATCTCAAATGTACCTTCAGGTGAAGAGCCTGTCTTTTGGGAAAAGACAGCATTAACTTTACTCTTCTTACTGATATCACTGTTGACGGACAAGCTGGACTGAATTTTTCTATGCATTTTGTTAGAAACAGGTGCTGAAAGTCTTCGATTATCCGCAGATACGTTTTTGGCCCCGTGGTGGTGAATTCCATTTCCGTTGCTGAGACTAGTGGGGCCGTTCTTTATCTTGCCGCCTTCCTCCTCACTTGGCTCCTGTAGGGACGCTTGAAGCTGAGGCAGGCGCTGAGGTTGGCCTAAAGAACAGGTAAAGTTTTTCCAGTTAAAAAAAATATTTGAAAACCATCAAAATATATTCAGTAACAGACTTTTTCTTTTCCCCCTGGGTTTCGCCCGTGGTACTAAAAAGTGGAAGGTGGAGAAAAAGGAAATATTAATTAACATGGACACAGAGAAAACAATTAGTACAAAAGGCAAAGTGGGAACAGGGTCATCAGAAGTGACGTGACACAAGGAATAGGAAAATAGCAGGAAAGACTTTTGTTTTTTTAAGAAAATTTAAGTCGGAAATCTGAAAAAGTTATTCCACACCCAATCAACAGCAAATGTTTTTCTTCTATATACTAGGCCCCACTTTAGGGTGCTAGAAACAGCAATATTATCTCAATATCTCTGATTATGGGTTAAAGTAATTGTCTTTTGAGAGAAAAGGGAAAGAACAATGAATTCAAGTGTCAAAGCTGGACAATAGAGAAGGAAATATAGTTGTTTTTCTTTTCAATTTCACTTCATTTTTTTAAAGGTTATTTATTTAAGTAATCTCTACACCCAATGTGGCACTTGAACTCAGGACCCGAGATCAAGAATCACATGCTTTTCCGACTGAGCCAGCCAGGCACCCCTTCAATTTTATTTTAAATCCTGGAGAAGAAAACCTTTTCTATATGTATTCTTCAATTTGATATAAAAATAAACCATTTATGAAAAGTTAGGAATAGAAGACAGTTTCCTTAATCTGATAAAACACATCTGCCAGAGTTAAATGTCAGCACTATAGAAACACTCCCATTTAGGTCAAGACCAAGAAAAGGCAGCCCAGCTTCACCCCTCTTATTCGACATTACACTAGAGGTCCTGGCGAAAACAATAAATATGAAAAAGTAGTAACAGGTCTGAAAAAAAATGTTTTTGAGACCTATACCTAATTTGAATGTTCTAGGGGAAATTTAGGAGACTATAAATCTTGAAACACAAAGAATTTAACAAGGTATATACAAGATCAACCCTATTAAAATAAAAAAAGGTTCCTCTAGGCCAACAGAAACCAAATAGCAAATATACAAGAAAAAATGAACTCTTCACAATATCATAAACAAAACGCAAACAAACAAACAAAAAACAAAGCCAAGAAAAACACTGTTAAGAATTAAGCTAGGACAAAATGGGCAAGATTTTCTGGCAAAAATTATAAAACAATACTGAAGGACATTAAAAAATATACTACTAACTGTAGAGCATATAAATGTTAATTCTCCCCAATTTATTTATTTAGTGTAATTCCCATAAAACAACAGGCTTGTTGAGGGAACTTGACAAGCTGATTCAAGAATTTATGAGGAAGAGTAATCAACCATCACTAAAGAAATTTTCAGAAAGAAAATGAGGGTTGCAGCATTTGACTTACTACATATATAGTCTTATCACAAAACCAACAGGAGCTAAAGCAGTGAGCTGATGGTTCAGACACAGACACATAAACCAGGGGATAAGCAGAGAGAGTTCCCAATATAAATGTGTGCACACATTTAAGGGCATGTATTCCTTAACCAAATAAATTACGGGTGTATTAAATGCTTATCTATGAAAAGCAAAACCTTTCAGATTGAAAAAATATGACTATTTTAACATCATGACACTAAGGAGGGACAAACTAATTGGTTGTTTGGACAATGAATCATAAAAAAAAGCAGGATGACTATTCATCATTGGTGCTGCCTGGCATTTCTGAACACCCTCATGGATTTTTGGTAAATTCCTCTAGTCCATTCCTAGACTCCTCTGCAGCTAAAGGGCAGGCATGTGACCTAAGTTCTAAGCACAAGTATGACTTACATGCAGAATGGCCAATGCAAGAAGGCAGCCACCTCCACCAGAGAGGTGGAAACCCTCAGCACAGACCATGTAGAAAGCATTTATTGGTCTCGGCAGTGGGGTGCAGTGTCTGATGTCCACTTCCTATCAGACCAATGAACCGATAGTCTAGCAGTGGGGTTTTCAACAAAGAAGCCCCATTGAATAGATGGGAATGATGTGTGGCTGTGTAACTCTTGGGAGGGCCTGTATGTTAATACATTTATTTTCTATTTAAATTAGCCAAAATGGAATCTAGTGTTTGTAGCTAAAGAGCCCTAACCCCCCCCACCCCCAGTGTTATTTTACATTGGTTACATAATGAAATTATTAAAATCAACATTCACCTTGATTGAGTAGCCCCTAAGCAAAGCTATCCATCATCGCACTTCAGCAAAAACCACCAACAAAAACAATTTGTTCCCAAAATTTTACTATTTTATAATTTCCTGCAATTTCAAATCTAAAAGTGCTGGTTTAATTAATCTTCTTTTCCATTTATGAATATGAGCAGTTATGAAATGTATATTACATCTGAATACTAAGAACTCTTCAATTGAGAAAAGTATTGCATGCAAAGCAGTCACAATTATATGTGGCATTGACCATGTCTGATTATCTGTGTTCTGGGGATTAGCTAAGACTTGGTATATATTTTTGACAAAGACAGTTTGCATTTGAGTAAATCTCTAGCACACATTGTTTACCTCCGTTCCTGTTCACATATCCTCTGTCTCTTGAAGAAAAACATCTTAACATATCAAAACGTGCTAACTCATGAATGTGCATATTTTAAGAAAAAAGACATTCTTTTTCTTTTTACTTAACAAAAGCATGCTTTCGTACAAAATCTGTTAACATTAATACCTGATTTATTAAACTAACCTATGAGCTCCCTTAAAGTTTTTCAGTTCTTCAGTGATAAAGGAAAATGTCTAAAAAGTAAAGTAATGGTGGTAAAATGTATCAAAATATTTTGTTTTTCTCCTTACTCTTGACGAAATAAAAACTTACTTCTCTGTTTAGCAGCCATATATGCCCTTCTGTTAAGAAATATCGACAAGGCATCTGCAAAGGTAGATCTATTTCTTATGAGTGTGCAATCATTTGATCTAGAGATTAATCTGCGGCTCCTGTAACTTGTATCAACTAGAAGGACACCCTAATGACTGCTATTGAACACACATAGTTATGCATATGTATTTAAAGGGATGCCAGAAAAGATAGTCAAACGTACTGTGGTGTTCTTTTCAGAGCACTTACCAGTAATTTCACCAAATAAATGGAATGTTTGGGCCACGTTTTCTCTGAAAAGAATATTTCAAAAGCAATCCGAGAGCTTGGTTAAATTGAATATATCCAATTGACCAATATTAAAGAGACTTACCAACCAAAAATATCCTGTAACAGTCCATAATCCAAGATAAATTTAAAACTACTATGTAGTAGTTAAAACATTCCAATAAGTAAATTTTTTTTAAAAAGGTGGTAAAAGACAACTATGTCTTGCCACCAAATTCTCAAACTGACAGATCTGACCTTTTTCTACTATCAAAATTGACTATTTGCAAATTACCAGATATGGCTCAAGTGGTATTCAAACACATCCTTAATGATTTATCTACATTTCAATCTTCAAAATGATATCTATTTCTGTTGGCAGATAAATCAAAATACATTCATTTTTGTTTCACTGTCCTCTAATTATTTTAACTATAGTTTGTATTATGGTCAGGTAACCAAATATTATCTCTTTATGCCAGTTTGGTTTTTTTAATAGTAATAGTTTTTTTCTTATTAAAATAATTTCTTAGTTTTAGGATTTGGGCAGATACATACAGTATGTAAGTCAAATTAAAAATGGATAAACCCTAGGTATATTAGCTATATTAACATTTATTTTAAGTTCACTGCTAATTTTTCATGGGTGTGACTTGAATCTTAGAGTCAAATTCTAAGCAAAACCAAGTCAGAAACAGGATTTTATTCTCAAAGAACAAAAACATCTGATTGATTAAACCCTAACTACTTGGCTTTAAATAGATTTCTTTTCCTTATTGTGTAAAAGTTGTGTATGGCTTTAAAAAAAAAAAAAACACAGTAATATGGGAACGACACAATGCTTCTTAAAACACAAGTGATGCCTAGGGACCCTCACTCTCCCTTTAATGATCCACTGCTCTCATTCAGCTGTCTTTCTTTTTTCAAATCTTTACATATGTGACAGCTCTCAAAAGTAGACCATAGACCATCTGGCATTTTCCGAGGTGTAACTTGTGCAAATTCAGCTCTATTGGGAGCGCACTGCTATCTTCTGCCTGCGTTATAAAGGGACAATAGAATGTAGAACTTATGAGTTGTTTTGAATTATTCATTTTTTTGCCTGTATATTCAAGAAATTTTACAAACTCTGCATTTTGTACTACATAATCACATGCGTTAAAGGTACAAAGAAACTTTTTGACACCTCTTTTCTACAGAAAGCTGGCATTTTGTTTGATATGTGAACATTCAGCATCTGTTATATCATTCTAAACAGGATGGGTGCTTCTACAAAAGACCCCATTTTAAACTTACTCTATATGAGCAAAAAAATGTATTCTTGACATTCAGTAACTAATGCAATACACATCAAAATTTCAAATACCAGTTATATGAACATTCAGCATCTTCAAACCTGGATAGCATTGGTCACCCGCTTACCATATGTGTAAAGAATTTTTTTTTTTTTTTTTTACCAGTGCTCACACAATGCCGCATGATTGTAATTTTAATATCCGTGATGAATAGTTACAAATGTCTTAAGAAATACTGTGCTTTCTAGGTTCGAATGTTTTCAATCAGGGAGGAAACCAATAGAATTAAATCTAGTGATTTTCAATAAGAATAATAAATATGGGAGTAATGAGTCAATAGCATGAACTTCTTTTGATAATTTTTTTGAAACTGGGTGATATTGCAGCAAGTAATAACTACACTTGCAACTGTAGCTGCCTGAGTGGCAATATAAAGCAACATTTTGTTATAGCATATAATCTATTAGCATGTGCAAGACCTCTTCAGTCACTGGTCTCTTGCACAAATCAGATTTAATAAAATTACAAAAGAATTCTCATACCACTTGCCCACTTTAAATGGTGGTTGTATGCATATGAAAAAAAGTTAA